TCTTTAAAATCTAAAACAAAAATTTAAGAAAGAATATATGATTCGATTCTCCTGCTTTTATAAAAAAACATTATTCTATTAATTATTTTACTTCAATTCTAACAATCTGGAAAGAAAGCTCTCATACAAATCAATTATTTTTCAGGTTAGAATTTAATTTTGTAGAGTATTTATAAATTTAGATTAGATGTAAGGTTATGATTAAATAAAAATTCAATTGCTAAAAATCCATTTCTAATTTATTCTAAAACTTCAAATTCTTTTGGGGAAAACTTCCTTTTCAAATTCTTGAAAATAACTTAAAATAATTTAGATCTCTGAAGTCAATAAACTTTTTGTAAATCTAAATAAATAATTAATTTAATCGAAATATCTTGAAATTAATTTGAGCATATTTGTTTGTATTTAAATATTCTTATAATGATATTAGTTAATAAAAATGATTATGTTCATAAATCAACTTTGTTAAAAAATTCCAGGAATTAAAATTATGATCTGAAAATTAACAAATAATATCTAAGAATATACTTTTAATGGGATTCTGATAATAAAATATTTAGAAAAATAAACAATTTAACTTTTTAGAAAGAGGTTAAAAAAAGGGGATAATTTGAAATCAACCTTAGACAATGTCAAAAATGTATTTTAGCTTTGTTTTTTTTAACAATTTAGTATAATTAGTATACACTATGTTAATTAAAACTCTAGAACAGTTTTAATTCATATTTTTCTCTCAACTATTTAATTAATTTAAATAAAAATCATCTGCAATTTAAAAAAAACTATTTTTGATTTATTTTATACCCTCAAAAGAGCCTTTATTAACAATTTTTATAATAAAAATAATTAAATATTTTTATAATTAATTTATGAGCTTGTGTAATTTAATTTTACTCTTCTTTATAAATTTTAAATCATTTTGAGTTTGAAGATAAATTAATTATGAATTTTATTAAAATTATTAAATAACATATGCGATTTGATTAAATATTTTACTAAAAAATATATTAAGAAACAAAAAAATATGATAAAAATATCTAATTTAAAATATATTATAAGAACTTAAAATTATAAAATAACAAAATTTGCGAGTTCATTTTACTAAAATTAAAGAATAAAAGTTTTATTTAA